CTCTAGAGAAAAGAACAAGTATTGTTTCCCACTCAGAGAAAAATGATATTTGCAAGTCTTCTGCTTTTTCAAACTATTTCTGTATCTTTACCTCCCATTTAATTGGCGCAAAATTTACAATTATACCCCTCCATCATAACGAGGTTAAGTAGCAGAAAACCAATTCACACTGGCTTATATTATTTAACAACACCCAGACACGGGCTTCAGACACAGACTCATCCGCGGCAGCCATAACGGCACCAAAATTCCAGATGTGATCAGCTCACTCCTCCACTTCGGCTGGGCTGGCTCCCTCATGGGCCCACGCTGACAGGCAGCAGTTCCAGGAACCAGAGCCTGGCCATGCAGGAGAATGGCCAACCGGCTTCTCTGGAGCCTCTTAACAAAAGGCAGCCCTTCCCTGCAGTCTCCAGAGAACTTCCTATCAACTCATCCACCAGAAGAGGGATCCTCATCCTTAAACCAATTACCAACACAGGAAATGGGTTTCCCATTGCCAAGTTTAGAGTGTAGGGATTTGTGATGCTCAACCCTGATTGCACATTTTTACATTTTTATGGGGGGAGGAGGGTTGAGCAGCTAAGATTAAGAACCACTGAGTTATAGTCAGAATTACTGCTAACTGCCTCTCCCAGAGTTGAATGGAAAAGGGTGTAGGTGCCAGGAATAAAACCTGGATTAGTGAAAGGGGGAGGGGGATACAATATCTGGATCAATAGGACTATGTATACAGCCCCCTTAGAAGTGTGTTTTTCTTCAATCCTCAAGAATTCCTGCATTCCTTTCATTGTAACAAAAAAAAAAAAAAATAGAGGCACAAGTTTACAAAGTGAAATTCTTTTATGTCTCCCAAATTTCATTGTTTAATGTAAAGAAATTTCCCCCAAAGAATCAAAAGTCATTAAAACCAAGGCCTAAACATAATAGCAAAACTAAGTCTTCAGAGACCCAAGTGCTAGTCCTGGTTCTACTACTGACAGAGTCCTTCATGCCCTCCCCATGTCAGCAGTCAGAGCAAGCTCACTTCTGAGGGGCCTTCCAGCTTAACACACACACACACACACACACACACACACACACACACTGAGCTAGACTCTATACATTTACTGAAGAGCATCTGATACACCTATACAAGTGCTTTCATAACAGTAAAGACTGTTTAAAGCTTTTTTTCCTACAGAAGAATATCTATTTGCTCTAGAAGCCTAATGCAAAATTTATGAGGAAAGCACATATGGCTTATTGCTGTTTCTGGCAAATATGAATTATATATTTGTATGAATCATAAACACCTAAAATTACATAGACTTTTGCAAGCCATGAAAGGCTTACAAAAGCCCAAATGGCTCATAAAGAGGACACTGGTTATTCTAGGAAAGGAGTGACAATCGGAAGCAAGAACTAAAAAGCCATTTAAACAAAGCGTCCATTGAATTGAGTGAATCTCCAAATCTACCACGGAAGTCAATGGCCCTCCTCTCTGGAGCTCCCTCGCCCTTGCTGTTATCTCCAAATCATACTCCACAGACTATCCTCCAATAATGTCTCTTCCACTGCGTCAGCTTTCTGCGGAAAAACCTGCAGTAACTCTCCAAGGGACAAAGACCACACTCCCAGCCTTGTTTCCATGGCCCTTCACAATCCGAAACCAACCTTGCCGTTCACCGTCTACTCTCTGAAATGCAATCTCTCTTTTCCAGCCAAACTGGTCTCCTCGCTCTTCCAACATGGCAGGTGTTCTGGTTTCTTCTCAGCTGTCTCCAATCTGACAAGGCCCTGTTTCTTACTTAAAAACACCACCGAGTTCCAAAAGTCCCAGCAAACCTTCCCTACCCTACACTCTCGTCCCTGGCAACACTAGAATTTTTGTCACTGAACCTTTTAAAAACACGCCTGCATTTCCTTTTTCTTTAAGAATTCAGCAGAGCGCACATAGTTCCAAAATGTTCCTTAGCTTGATGTTGACTTCAATTACAGAAATAAATTCAAGGGCAAGGGCCTCTACCTTATTACGTCTTTGTTATTATCTCAGTCACAACATTTAACAAAGTGTCAGTGCTGAATATTTGCTGATTGCTAAATAATTGAACTCAGCAGTAAGCCTTCAGGTCCTACAGGCTTCCACGTTTTTTAAATATTTATGGAAGATATCAAAGACATCTCAAGAAGTCCCAATTACATAAATCCAAGGAGTATTTGGTGCATGTGGGAGGGTGGGCTCTTACAGGGCAATTAAGAAAGGAATTGCTAAAAATTCTGAAACTACACAAAGGGGTATTTTTGCAAAAAGAAAAAGTGTAAAACATCTGGAAATACAAACAATTTGACCTACTTAGTTGTTATGCTTTCTGCAGCTCCTTCCTCTGACCGCCTCCCTCGACTCTAGACCCCAATGTTAGTAAGGCTCAAATAAGTAAAGGATTGGCCCAGATCCACGCAGGCAAACCTTTTGGAGCTTTCGGTGATACAAACAACCTGCTGTGGCCCTCACACCACCCTCCCCTAGAGTAAAATTTCAAATGGCCTTATCAAGCCATTTACAAATTCTGCGGAACCTTAGTAATCCCTCCAAGAGGAACTCAGGGAGAAACTACACACAAAAGTACATGACCCGCCCAATTTCCATGAGGCCAGGCCCTAACACGGGGAAGAATTACATTCAATCTCCTGACTTAAAAACCAACACGATTAGTCTTGGACAGGAATTATAAGTAAATGGAGAAAAGCCAGGGTCTTCTCAATTTCCCAAAAGCATGTGAGCTAAAGCTGTGTTTTCGTCACGGGAAAGAATGTAAATTAATGGGACAAAACAAAACACCTTCCGATTGCTCTCTTAAGCAGAACGTCAACGGGCTTCTTTTCGGAAAGGTCAAGCATCAACTGTAAGAGAGGAATTCACAATGTCAAGAAGTCTACATCGCAGGAAGGAAGGCTAACTGCTAACAGCTGCCCCCCAGATGCAGTGGATGCTGCGGGAATACGAGGCATGCTTCCTGCGGGCAGAAAAGCTATGGGGCAGGCACTAAGTAGTTATCTACCGGTGGCCAAGCTGGCTTCGCCATGGCCTCTCTCTCCACAGATTCGCCAATTCCAGGGGAAACTGCCACTTCCAGTAAGAGAAGGCACACTTCCCAATCAGTGCCCAGGAGCCCTAAAACTTAAATGTCCCCCACACCCAACTGTGCCCCGCACACCCCCTCCTACCGGGATCCCACCAAAGCACAGACCCAGGCGTAAGTCCTGGAGGTGCCATCCACCGAATCGCGTGCCCAAAACAAAGTATCCCCAGTCCTGATCTTGCAACATCAAAGAGGTCGGAGATGCCAAAGGAACTTTGGAAATCATCCAGAGAAGAAGTTGAGCGACTTGCTTCCCAAATTATAGGGACGGCTCACTAAATTCTTCCCATTAAAATGTATTTCAACTCATTCATTAAATAAATATTAACAGGGCTGGCCACTGTGTAGGCCTGTGCTGAGTGTATTTTAACCCTCCTTGGCGCACACGGTGAGGGGGGGACCGAGTCGAGGTGTTTTTCTCAGAAGTGGTGTCCACAAACAAGTGTACAAGATACAAACGCCCAAGGCTGGGAATTACTGAACTGAGAAACTCCGTGAGTCATAGAGACCCTTCCACCACAGACCGCCCATGCTGCCGGGACCCAGTCTGCTGTGCTTTTACACACGGACGGGGGAGGGGCACTCAGCCGTCCTGGAAGGGGTCCCGTGAGTGGCCGGGCTGCCCGTCCCGTGGAGCCGACCCCTCCCGGTGTGCAGCAGCGGCACCAGGGAAATCCGGCCGAGGTCTCTCCTAGACCCGTGTCAGCTCCTCCACCTACACGGTCTCTCCCGCGTCCTTCCACTCTTTCCAAACAGGGGCCGGGGATGGGGGGAACGGCGTCGCGCCGGACCTGGGCTGAATTCTTTCCCTGCAGGCAGTGCCCCCAACCTTTGAACCTTCCCGCACCGGAGGAGGGAAGGAATGTGCAGAGCGCGCAGGACCCAGAGGCCTGGAGAGTGAGCCGCCGGGACGATAAGATCAGGTCGGGGAAGATCAACAGTGACACAGATAAGGTGCTGTTTAAGGGCGTCCCGAAGCATTCGACAGCACCGAATTCAAGAAAGGAAAAACAAAACGAAACAAAAAACCTCCTAAGAAAGTTCTTTTCAGAGGTTTCAGAACCCACCCTAGACAAACTGATGCCTCGGAC